AGAGAGCAGCCAATGGAAAGATATTCCTAAAATATTTTCAAAATTCATTATTGTTTAAAAATGTTAACTTTATAAGTCAATGGTGAAAGAATCTCTTTAAAATTCTACAGGCTTTTGTGTCTGACCACAGCAGTGACCTCTGGTATTTTCTGCCAAAACAGTTCATTTGTCTCACAGAACAACTAATCAATTCCAGAGCCCATCAATCATTTTAGCTGTATACTGCTCTGGTTTTGCTTAGAGAAGGTCCAGATGGCTGCCTGTGTAAGTGGGATTAATAAAATTCTGATAGATTGCATAGCATCAAGCTACAAAATATAACAGGGAAGATCAAATCTTAACTGCAGGGTGAGATGGATCCGTATGTGCCTCATTTGTTGTATTTTTAATTCTTGCTCTAATTCCCAATTTATGTACCAACTTCTAGATAAAACCTACGTATACAAGTTACCCAAAGTGTTTTCTTGTTAAGTCAGCATATGTAGTACAGAACCAACTGACTCTTTGCAAAGCCCTCTGCTTATTAATCAGAGCTTTTTCTGCCAGTTTATAGTGTAAATGAAACACAACTGATCTCAAGATTAGAATAACTGTCTGAGTTACTAGATTTCTTAGTTTCTTGCTTCTATAGTTCCAAATGCAGGTCTATTAGCATTGGTTCTCCCTTCCCTGTTTTCCAATTTCTTTTCTAAAAACAAACAACCTGTACCATATTCTACTACCAGACTGACATATGATTTTAGCCCCTAACATAAGCCGTATGTCCTGGGTCTTGACTGTGGGGACTCTCAGTAACAAAACTATTACAGCTAACAGTGACATCATAACTTATCCTGTGCCAGATATTGTTCTAGGAAACCTATGTACATGTATTGCTATAATCCATTTAATTACCGTATGAGCAGGGTACTGTAGTTACGCCATTTTACAGATAACTAACTTGTCCAAAGTCACAGAGCTAGAAAGCGGTGGAACCAACATTTGAATGCTGGCCGTTTGGCTCCATAATTTTTTGTACTTCATTAGCCTCACATTATTTCCCATCCATTATATTACAGAACCATTAACTAGCTTCAGAAGGAGAAACTGGTGTCAGGACTCTGGAATATTAACTCAGAGATCTGTATCTATGACTATACTGCCACTTTCTGCGACAGAGTGGAATAAAGGTCAGAACCCAAAGAGGCAGGGAGCAAGCTCAGAACTGGCCCCAGTGGCCCGTGGCTCAAAAACCATTACGATAAAACTAAAGTGGCCCTTAAACTTATCACCTACAGTGCACACTAGTCAGGAGAGCTGCCACAGCGATGGAGTCTAAGCCTCCTGAAATGGGTTTATTAGATCCTGGTCTTCCTGATCTTTAAAAATGTGAAAAAAATTAGAGGTTTATATAATAAAGTATCCAAAACAGAATTCAAAGTACATTTTTAATGTTCTTTTTAAAAACAATGGTTCTATACAGGAAAACTTCTCCGTTCATTCAAATTTACCATTTGATGTTTCTAAAACTCTGGAACCTGCTGTTACTTTCACCTCAGCTGAACATAATTCTGCTAAGAAATTGCAATTAACTTCAGTTAAAGCAGACCTTTCTTGTGGAAAAACAAAACAACAGCTACTGTTTCACCAAAATACAAGCAATATTTGATTACATAAGAGTCAACAAACAGCCCCTTTTCAATGTTGCAACTACATCCTTATACTTAAGAAACAATAGGGACTACATCTGGTCCGTCACTGGAGTAACCAGCATTTCAGTACAGAATAATTTTTATCGTCGTTTGTTACACGGGAATTGTGTTCAATTATAAAATGAATTCTCTATATAAGAAAATTAGTAGTTGCTGTAATTTCTGATCTGCTATAGTAGTAATAAAATTACCGTTTATAATAGTTAAAAGGCTTTCAGTGGCTCTGGTCTTCATGTTTCTTACTGTTTCTTATCTTAACAATGTTCTGGAATACAGAGACTTAAATCATATCATAAGAATAATAATATTTAGATGATTTAATGAAATAAGGCCAAGACTAACCAGTTTTGCCCATAGCAGAGGTTCATATTTCATTCCATTAACCAATAATGTTATTAAACATACATGTATATTAAACATACATGTGGATGTCAAAAAACAGAGAACATACTACGAAAAGGTGAAGAAGCTGAGAAGCACAAATATTCACAATGTTTTGTCTTATAGGTTCATAATAAATGTGTTTCATTGAATTAAAATCTCTACTTTATAAAAATGTGATCTTCTTTTGTTACTGTTTCTTATGATCCAATTCTAAATATTGATCTAAATCTAAGAGTCACTTATTTAGGAACTGGATGGAGTGCGAGAGGGGAAGTGGACTCTTCCAATATAATTTAGCTCTATTTTAGGAATACTTCAATTATCCACACAGCCACTCTCACTTCAACTGGGGTGCACGGATTTGCTTTCTGCTCTGTACAGACACCGCAGCCAGGCCACCAGACAGTCCAAAAGGAAGGACGCAGCATGCCATTTTGAAAAACACTACTCTAGGAGCCCTTAAAGAAACTGGCACACAAAATAAGGATTGTGATTACCTACAGATAAGCAACTGATATTATTAGAAAGTATGTATGGTGATTTTTCAAAAGCAAAGTCAAACGATCTCAATTTATTTATGTAACCAGGAAAGTAAAATAGCCTGTACGTTTTAAGTGCTCAGGAAAAGAGGTGAGGACGGGTGCATCTCAAGAAAACCAAAGCCGCAGTCTCTGCTCTGTGGCAGGGCCACTAGGCCAACGCAGTGTGAGCCACAATCTTACTAATAGGGCTTTCCTGCGGGAAGCGGCCATGGACACCTCCCAAGCCTGGGCACTTTCACTAGGAACCTACTAACTTCTGGGCACTTCCTCAGACAGTGAGAATACAGAGATGGAAAAAATGTGACCCTTGACCTCCAAAAACTAACAGTTTAGTGGAAGGATAGTTTTTTTAAACATTATAATTCGATGTGGTATAACATGATAAATGCTATAATAAAAGGACTATGGGAAAACAGAAGGAATGGCCAGCCCTCCCCCGCACCCCTGTACCATGTAGGAAAAATGACTTGATTCAACATTTAATAAACTTTGATTGATGGGGTTAGGGTTCTAAAATACCATTTTCTTAGAAGACTCTATAAAGATGAAAAATACAAACTAAGAACCCCAAAACACTTTCTGAATATTTAAGGGTTAAGGGGCTGGGGGATTAATCTCTGCAAATGTTTTTTAAACTGTGCTTCCTCAACACTGCACTGCTCCTCAAGAGCTCTAGTGGGCCAGCTGGCAAATGCACTCCAGGCCTGCAGCGGCTGTAAAGGTGTCATTGTTCCCCTTAATTCTCCAACAGGTTTTCTTGTCCCAACCCAAGTTACACATTTAATCTAAGCAAAAGTGGTGTGCTTGCTATGCAGCCAGATTCAAGAGAGGACACCTCCTAATAACTGATTGGTCATTCACTGGAAACTATGAGCATTTAAAGTTTTTAGTTCATAGTGGTACCGTAACTTCCCTCCCAGAATGCTACCTGGGAGCTCTTATCCCCACTTCTTTGTGACGATGGTAATGTCAGCAAAATCTTCTGCAAGAGTGAAGCAAAAATTTTTGGTACCACTTCTTCATTTTATGAAGATAGATTATTTCCCTTCAATAAATTCAGGTAATCTCAATTTTCCACTGAAAATTAGAGCTCATTTATTTTATGTTGATGAGTAAGTAAAGTTCAAGTAACTCAAAAAGGGTAAGAGCATCAGAGAGTCCTATTTCCTTTTTATATGTAAAGGAACAATCTTAGGAGGTGTCGCATAACTTTAAAGCAGGACAGAATCCTTTTCCTGATTTATACAAACACAGTGCTGAAAGACAAGAATTATCCAAAAATTTTATACATAACATACAAAATTTAAGTCCTTTATTAAATAATACAAAATCACCTCTAAAATTTTTAAATTGTGATGGAAAAGCACATAAAATTTACCATCTTAACCATGTCAAAGTGTACAGTTAGGCAGTGCTGGGTATATTCACATCATTGTGCAACCAATCTCCGAAACTTTTCCATTTTGCAAAACTGAAAAAAACCCCATGCCCATTAAATAACAACTCACATTCATTTCCCCTTTCCTCCAGCTCCTGACAACCACTGTTCTACTTTCTGTTTCTGTACATTGACTACTCTTGTTGCCTCACCTAAGTGGAACTACATAGGATTTATCATTCTGTGACTGGCTCATTTTACTTAGCATAATGTCCTAAAGGTTCATTCATGTTCTAGTGATGTTTCAGAACTTCCTTCCTTTGTAAGGCTGAATAACATTCCATCCTATGTACCATGTTTTGTTTACCCACCCGTCGACGCACACTCGGACGGCTTCCAGCTCTCGGCTATTAGGAATAGTGCTGCTATGAACGTGGGTGTGCAAACATGTCGTTCAGATTCTGCTTTCAGTTCTTTGGGATATAGAACTAGAATTAGAATTGCTGGGTCATACAGTAATTCTCTGCTTAATTTTTTGAGGACCCTCCACAATGTTTTCCTTCATGAGCCATTTTTCACTCTAAAGTGATTTTTAATTTGTAGCTCAAGTAAATAAACTATACAAATTGAAGTCATTAAAAAACTGGTATTCTGAGGAAAACTAACACCAACACAAATCCACAGCTTAGACTGTCTGAGACATAAAACCTTATCCTACCAACTACTTACATGCTAGGCAAGGTTACTGTCTAGTACTGATTCAGACACTTGCTGATTTTAGGGATTATATACCTTAAAAATTCTTTCCTTCCATTTATTATCCTACTAGAAATACCACCAAATCAGTTTTAGGTTAAGAAAAAGGTCTTCACAAATGGAAGTTTTCAGGATTAAAAATATACAGATACATGCATGCATACATACATACATACATACATTCATATACATGATGTACATAGAGATAGAGAGATATTGCTATTATCAACAACCAGAAGAGAAAATTACCTGATGATTTCTTCATGATACAGAGAACTAACAACTGGTCCGCCAAAACCAGTATTTGCTGCTTTTCCCTTCTTCTCTGGTGACTGTGGGGCGAGGGGGAATAGAAAAAAAGAGATGTGGATTAAAGCAGTGTATATTTAAATCAGTTACAAAATCCTGCTTCGCTAAGGAATACTGAGAGCTTGGCCACCATTTCTGCAAGGCACTAGTCACAGGTTCGAGATGGATTCAGAAAGGCAAGCAGACTCCCAGGTCATCAAGCAGTGGAATGAGTACTCACTAGCAAACTAAGGTCATTCCACAAGGTCGCTCCACAACTGCTGCTGGAGCCCCCTAAGAGCCATTCGCCTGGTCTACTGTAAGAGGTTAACTATGTTCGCTGTAGAAAATATGGAGTTCCACATGGAAAAATGAAAACAAATTATGAAATGTAAATATCAGATATAAAAGGTAATCAGGAAAATCATACCTCCCTTAACAAAATTAAAGTTCCACAAACAGAAACTAAACTGTAGTTAAAACTTCAAATGCAATCATAAAGAAAATATTTTTAGGCAGTGAAAAGGAGAGAAGAAAGGAGAGCCAAAATAAAAGGAAAAAAAAAACAGTTATGGCAACACCGTCCAAAATCAAGCATTCAATGGGCCGTGCCCCTTGGTATTCTCAAAAAGCACAAGATGAAGATTAAATTTAGAAATAAGATTCTTCCAAAACATGTAATGTGGAAGCAGTGAACTTGGATGTTATTACTGTCTGAAAAGCTTAAATTGCAATCTCCGCAAAGGTCCACATCTCCTGCAATTTGACAGTATCGATACCCTTATTGAAAATCAACTGGCCATAAAAGTGTGGGTTTATTTTTAGACTCAGTTCTATTCTACTGGTCTATCCTTAAGCCAATACCACACTGCTACAATTATAGTAGCTTTGCAGTAAGTTTTGAAATTGCAAGTGTGAATTCTCCAATTTTATTCTTTTTCAATAGTGTTTTGACTATTTAGGGCCCTTTGTAAATCCATCTGAATCTGAAGACTGGGTTTTTCATTTCTGCAAAAATGGCATTTAGAATTGTCAGAGAAATTTCATTGAATCTGTAGGTCACTTCAGGCAGTACTGCCATCTTAACAATAAAAAATTTGCCAATCTATGAACATGGGATGTCTTTCCAGTTATGTAGGTCTTCTTTAATTTGTTTCAGCAATGGTTTATAGTTTTCAGTATAAAATCTCTCACCTCCTTGGTTTAAATTATTTCTAGGTATTTTATTCTTTTGGATGTTACTGTAAATTATTTTGTTAGTTTCCATTTTGGGGTGTTCATTGCTGGTGTATAGAAACACAACTGATTTTTGCATGTTGCTCTCGTATCTTGCAAATTTACTGAATTCTTTTATTAACTCAAGTAGTTTTTTTGAGGATTCTTTGGATTTTCTATAGGTAGGATGATATTATCTGTCAACAGGACTAGTTTTACTTCTTCCATTCCAATATGGCTGCTATTCATTCCTTTTACTTGTCTCATTGCTCTAGCTAGAATTTAGAGTACAATGTTGAGTAGCACTGGTGAAAGCAGGCATCCTTGTCTTATTCCTGATCTTAAGGGAAAAGCTTTTGGTCTTTCACCAATGAATGTAATGTTACCTGTGGCTTTCTCATCAATGGCAAATAAATTTCACCTTCATTTTTGAGAGCTACTTTAAATGGTATAGAAATATGAGTTGATAGATTTTTCCTTTTGATGTTGCCCCTGACTTCAGCTTTCAGAAAAGAAGTCTGCTGTACTTCTTACCTTTGTTCCTCTGTATCATTTTGGGATGGGGGAATCTGGGTGCTTTTATTTTTTTTCACTGGTTTTCATCAATTTGATTATGATGTGTTTTGGTGCTGCTTCTGCTTGGGGTTCATTGAGCTTCTTGCATCTATGGGTTAATGGCAGTGATTCTCAACTAGGGAAGATTTTTGTCCCCTCTCTTCCCCTAACGATATCTGGCAATGTCTGGGGTAATTTGTTGTAAGTAGGTGGTCCCACTGACACCTAGTAAAAAGGGACTGGAGTTACTACTAAACATCCTACAATGCACAGTTCAGCCTTCCACAACAAAGAATTATCCAGTCCCCAATGTCAATGCTGTTAAGGATGAAACACTTTGATAATTTTCATCAAATATTTAAAATTTCAGTTGTCGTTCGTTAAATTTTTGTTTATTCTCTTCTCTCTCATGCTTTTTCTCTTCTTCCTGGGACTCCAATATGCTACACTGCTTGATATTTTCCCATTGCTCACTGGGGCTCTGTTCATTTTTTGTTCAGCCTTTTTATGCTTTGTGCTTGATTTTTATTAGCTTCACATATTCAAGTTCACTAATCTCTTCTTATGCAACTTCTAATCTGCTGTTAATCCTACCCAGTGTATTTTTTCATATCAAATACTATTTTCTTCCTTCTCTAGTAAGTTCCATTTGGGTCTTATTGGGTCTTGCATTTCTCTCTCCATTATGTTCATGTTTTCCTCTACTGTCATGAATATATAGAATATATTTATAATAGCCGTTTTCTTCTCTATTATTTCTGCTTTCACTGACAGGTTTTTTTTCCTTGGTTATGGGTCCCATTTTTCTGCTGTCCTTGAATGCTTGAAAGACTTTTACTGTAAGCCAGACATTGTAAATTTTACACTCTTGTTTGCTGATTTTGTTGTGTTCCTCTAAATTATGTTAGACCTTGTTTTGGCATGAGCACAGTTATGCAGGAATCAATTTGATCCTTTCAGGACTCACTTTAAAGCCCTGTTAAGGCAGGGGCAGAGCAGCCTCTAATGTGCAGCTTAATGTAGCCTCACTAAAGGTGAAATCCTTTCGAGGCCTCTATCAAATGCCCCATGTATTACACTTTCTTTCCACTCTGACTAGTAGGAAATGAAATATTCTCGGTCCCGCGTCAGCTCCAAGAATCGCTTGGCCTCCTGCTTTCTTGTATTTCTTTTCCCCGCCTGTTAGTTCCCTTTCACACACACACAGATTAGCATTCAGCCACAGGGACCCTTCTGCAGGTCTCTGGAGCTCTCGCTCCTTCTGCAGGGACGCCCTCTCTAGTATTGGGCCTGGTGTTTTCTAGCTCAAGTTGGGGACACAGCTGGCCGAGCTCTCTGGATCCCACCGCCCATCACTGTGGCCTGCAAACTGCTCCCAGGTCGTGAGCTGAGGCAACAGCACGCAGCACTGCTTGGCTTCCCTCCTTGGCTAGTCTTCCACCACTTTTAGTGTCATTTCTGAAAATCATTATTTCACCTGTTGTGTCTAGTTTTCTTCTTGTTTTGGGCCAAAGAGTCAATCTCATCCCTACTGCTCCATGCCCAGGAGCAGAAGTCCCACAAACAGTAATTTAAAAACCAGCATCACATTCCAGGCAGTAATGCACCATAATTCATTTAACCATTCTCTGACAGTTGCCTATTTAGGTTATTTTCACTTTTCCTCTCATAAAGGTATGATGAACATCTTTATGCATAAAGCATAATATGGTTGTAATTAAAATCTTTAGGGAAAAGTATGACTCCACAATTTGATTATAGTGTATTCTAAACATGTGCCTTCTTCCTGAAATGAATGCCTCTCTCCGAAGCAACAGCACAAAGCATGTTAGGATGCTGCTGACAACTTTTTTTCTGGGGTGGAGGGAAAGGGAAGATTATATCTTAAGCATAAATAATTTTTCAAAAAATATCTGCCATTATCAGATTGAATTCAGAATCAAGCTGCCAAAGATGCATTAGTTTTCGTCTCCATCCACTTCATCTGTAAGAAGGGGTAAACTTTGGCTACTTTAGCCTCTCGATTTCCACTCCAATGAAATGTTTCTCATAAAGGCTTAAGAAGTTTATTTCATTTCTCTCTACTCAAAATCCATTAAGTTATTTTTATGTTGCGTCAGCAGTTAAAGGAAGAGACTCCAGTTTGGCAGCCAATAGGATAAAATTTGCCAATTCTGACATTGCCTCAGACTACATTATTTGAGACACTGAAATGCTCCTTCACTCAGATGGGAAAGGATGTGTCTTTGGCTGGATCTTTACCATTTGGATTCAGATTTCACATCAGTTGCAGGGTCAAGATTTAAGACCTTATGAACCTTTCTTTTCTAACTGAAAAATAACTATTCCAAATGTTATCAGGCTAATATATGCACTAATATATGCAAGGCAGGGTTTCTTGCCTCCATGTGCTACCGATTTGGCTTCCATTTTATTTTATATTTTTGCTGAATTTGTTTATAGGTCTAGTTGTACGACGTTGAGTAAATTAATCTCTCTGCTTCAGAATCCTCATTTGTAAAAAAAAGGAATAGTAACTACCTCATATGAGTGCTTAACATATTTTATTTTTAAATTTATCTTTATTGTATTTTTTCCATTACCATTTAGTTGTCTTATACCCTCTCCCCCCAGCAATCACCACAAAAATTATTTTTAATATATCACAGTAAATTGTAAAATAGAACATGCTCAGCACAAAGTAGATATTATATAAATGTTAGCTCATCTAATAATGATACTAGCCTCTCCTGAACTACAGTAACTTTGTATAAGGCTTCAACCACAGTCCTCTCTGTTGCTCACCTTTACATGATAATAGTATTCTTGAATTTTCCAGATAGAAACGTGGATCAGCATAAGTTTGGGGGTCTACAGCTCCCTTTCCTGTTGTTTTCATGATGTTTTTAAAAGTCTGGTCTTTGGGATACTTTCAAATTGCTTGGCTCCAGTCCTCACTCCCACTTTTATCTGGTTCTTTTTCCTTTTGTCTTTATTATCCCTTTACTGCTTGGTTTTGAGTAAATTCCCAGCAGATCACTGTGTGAGGCTTTGCATTGAAGGGAGTTTGGCTGCTTAATCTGGGAAGCTCTACAGTGCAGACAGATCTGGAGAACCTCACCATGAACCCCACGTACTCAGACAAGAATTGAAGCAAAATCCCTCTAAACCTTACCTACTGGCACCTTAGGATTCTGCCATTCTCAGGTCAGCCAGACTCCCTGTGTTCTCTCCTATGAAAATATCAAGGCTACACAAATCCTGCAGCTGTTGA